AAAAAAACAGAAAGAACAACAAAACCCAAAAAATGCCTGAGGCAAGCAGTACAATCCTGTCAGCCTAAATTTTGTCCCGTAAGCTCTCCTGAGGATAACGAAGACAGACACGAATAGGAAAGAATACAAACTGGTAAGAAAACACACAAAACAAAACCCCTGCCCATTCCATGAAGATACTTGGTGCTTCTGGAGACTGCTTTGGATCTGTAAATTATGCTCTAACACAATGGGAAGACAAACCTCGTGCTGCAAGTTTCCCTAATGTAAAACAATCCCCTCCCCTTTGAGTTTCCCATCACTTTGTCATAAGTTCTCAGGAAAAATCCTCTGACTGGTTCCAAGAGGAGCACCTGGAGTAAATAGCTGCCACAACACTTTAGCTTTACTGTCTCCTGTAGACATGCAGAGAAGACAAAACAGCTCCTATTGCCACAGGCCTTCAAGTTTGGTACATGCTGGAATGGCTATTAAACCCAGTTCATGAGCAGCCTTGGTATTTTTAAAAGTGGAAAAGCAGCAGCCCCTTTTGCTCAAATTCTTGTCTGTCACCTCTGTCAACTGCAATTTGTTCCCCTTCACAAAAGCCCCAAGGACAGGTGTTCCCAATGTCCATGTGGGGCCAGCTCTTCCTATGCCTTGAGTTCTGGCAATGACATTCAAAGCAAGGGTTGAGGGCAGAAGTGTTTTAAGACAGAAAGAGATCCCCTTAACATCTTTATGTGGTGTATACAGGGGAGGCATATTCAAAATCAGGAAGAAGGAAAGTTGTTTAAAGGCCCCAGGTGGCAGTTTTCCTCAACTTTGTAGCACCATTAAGAGACCAAGAGATGGGCTTGTGCATGGCAGTTTCAATCAGTTAAATTCCTTCTCATTCTTCTTGAATGCAAGACAATAGGGGACTGTCCCATTCTTCCCCGCCCCAGCAGGACACTCCAAAACTGGCAGCTGCCCTGAGGTCAGAGTAAAAGTGAGACCTCTGGCTTCAGAGTTCTTAGGTCTCCTTGAGGACATTGATCTTGGCACAGATCTTGAGAGCTGGTCCCAGCTTCATGTTCATAGCACTCATGAGATGTTCCTCCTTCAGAAGCAACATGGCCTGACCATCAATTTCCTGTGACCGAAATTGCTCAGCAAATTCTTGGCACCCTGTGAAGCAAAACAAAAAACAGCAGTGAGAAGCACATGTGCATTGGGCACTCCTCCCCTCATTCCTCCTGCATCTCCTGCAGGTACAGAAAAGCAAGCTAGGAATCTAACCAAACCCTTTCTCCACTCTAGTCCACAGTCTCCTTGAGAACGCAGGCTACTTGAGAAATAAATCCCGAGAATCAATCTATGATCTACTCCAATTCAGAAACAGGTTCAAAAGCAGTAGGCACCACTGAGACCATTTTCTTTCCATAAAGAGAGCCCAATCTCCCCATGCTACTGGATCACAGGAGTGCAGGAGAGGATCTCAACTTTACCTTGCAATGATGCAATGAACTCATAAACCTCCTCCACACTCCAACGACTAGCATTGCTGGACAGGAAGACTGGGTTGATGCCATGTAGATCTGGGGTGGGGGGGGCCATATTAGAGTTTGTCAGATCCCTCTCTCCATGACTGGCTCTTACTGACAGGGGTCCTGGAGATGTAGGGGACAAAGCTTCATCATAGCTGGAGTTATCAGAACCTCGACTTGAGTCTTCCTGGCCCTACAAGCCCCCAGGAAAGAAAGAAAATAAAATAAAAGTTTGTGTTTTTTTAAGAAATTCACAATTACCAGCTGCAAAACAAGCTATTTAGGAGCAGCAGAAGTTGTCCCAACAGTCTGGCACAACTGTCTCAGGCTGTTGGTCCAGGGGCAGCTGACACAAGAGCTCCCTCACATAAAACTGAGGCTCATTCCATTAATCTATAGCCCAATTCAAGTCATTCATGTGAAAGACTGCAAATCAAATGGGAAAAGTGGATTGTTTTCTGCCAAGGCTGTCAGCTGGTCTCACTCACTGAGACCTTCAAGATGCACATGGGAGCAAACACATAGTGCACAGAACAAGTATGAACGTGAACACACTTCCTGCAGTCCATGAGGGATTAGAACAGCTCCCTGTGCCTTGTGTAACAAGTGTGTCAGCATGCCCACGGCACATCCTGCATCCACTGTGACAAAGTGGTACGGCCAGAAGGGACAAACCCTATGCAAGCCTGCCTTGACAGGTGTGTGTCCTTACCCTGTGGCGCTTGCCCTGGATCTTTGTTCGAGCGCTTTCGGAGCTGCTGCGCCGTGGTCCCCGTCGGCGCACACGGGCGTAGTTGGCTTCCTGGAGTTCCTTCATCTTCTTTCTCTGCATCCGGAACTGATGGCTGCAGCTGACATTGTACCTCAAGTAAGCAGAAACAGAGCAGCACTTAGAAAGCAGCAACTGTCTAAACTTACTACTGCTCCTTGCTCTAGATGGGGATAAGACTCTTCTTTACCATCAAGTTCTGTTCCTCCTCCTTCTAAGACTTCCCCTTGGAGGGAACCAGTCCAGACTTCTGACACAAGCAATACTTGGACACCAGATTCTTGATCTAACATCTGAAGGGTCAATTAAGTCATTCCCCTAAGGGAAAAAAGACCTATAACAAGCACTCTGCTATCAACAGGAGGCAGGAATGACTAGTCTAACTTCTACCCAGGTTTTTCCCCAATGCTATCTTGTGTCTTTGTCTAGTACCAATGCATGAGATCACTACCAGTATGCATTTATTTAGTCAGTCAAATGTATATTTCTCTGAAGAGAGGTTCTTTATAGCCCCAGAATTTCCCCCTTCCCAGTTCATTTTCTGAGCAACCCAGAAATCCTATTTATACTCAGCAACACATCCACCTCTCCAGACCTAGATGCGTTTACAAATCATTTCGTGGTAAAGGATCTCTGTGCCCTCCAAGCCACAGAGGGAGAATCAGATGTACTGAAAGATGGTACACTATTTGGAGAAGGGGCACTGGATGACTGGTGCTCATCCAGTTTCAGCAAACATGTAGTCAGGGATAAGGAATATTACATCTTGCTGTTATTACCTTTTAGCACAGGTCATGGAACAAAACCTCTTGGAGCCACGGAACTGGCTTGCTGGGGCATACTTCCCACAATATTCACACTTCAACAAGTTTGCCTTCTTGTCAAGTTCTAGTGAGATACAGAGACACACACCAGTTGGTGATCTGAACTGAAGCCCATCACACACCACATGATTTCCCATTCCACTGGTTTTCTGAGCAGACAGATTCCAAGCACTGTTTTCTACTGAATCTAGTAAGTAGTTAGCTTGGGGAAGCAAATGGGGAAAAAAGAACCACAAGCTCGGCTAATTAGGACCCCAGCATATCAAACAGAGCAGTTTTTTCTCCTGGTCAGTACTACTTCATGGAACAAACAAAAAATAGTGTATTCCTTGCACCCTACAAGGCTGTGGAGGAAATCTCCATCACTCTGCTCTGTCCACATCCTTTACAGCCTACAGTCATTAAAGACAGGTACAGTTAAGAATCTCCTGCTTACTGCTGACACAGGATGTGTTAGATAATATTTACAACAACAAAAGAAGCATTGCAGTCTTCTGGCACTCAAAAAAAGCAAGATCCTAGTTCCACAGGTCAAGTCTTTAAGGAGGTGGCAGGAAGAGATGCAAGTCTGTAATGCATTAAGCTGGTAACACAGAGACTTTCAGTAACTCTAGCTAGTCCTTGTGTTCTTGAAACTCACCCATGGAAGCACTATCCTCTCCTAGAGAATTGCTGGACAGGTTTTCATTCTGACCAGAAGGAGCCTCTCCCTGCAGTTGTTTCTCAGATTCTTTCAGCAGCTGAGAACAACCCACCTGGACAAGGAGAGAATGAGTTGGACCCACAAGTAAAGGATTCCCTGTGTCCACCACCCTCTGCCAAGGTATGTGCAGCTCAAAATTTAACTAAGAAGAATCTCTCTGCCTAACAGGGAAGGAGAGATGCTAAAAAAAAAATCATTACTGCTTCCTGACTCACAAGCTTGGTTGTTCATTTAAAGATCCCCAAGCACTATCTGCCTTGAATAATGTCCAATTCCACGTAACTCCATTTCCCTTCTTTACTTCAACTTCACTTGCTGCCTGTTCAAAACGCATCTTTCCCTCACAAAGAGGAGAGCCTCCTTACAATTCCTGCATTAATTATTGCTTTAGTAACAACTGGAGCAAGCAGTTGCTGCAACAGTTGTTTTTATTCCTTCAAACCTCTTCTCTTCAATGACACCTCTTAATGTCTTGCTTTATTCATGACAACTCCCTCCCTCCCTTCCTCTTTACTGTCTCTGTCTCAGGCTAAAAATGCTAAATTGGAATATGGGGAAAGATACTTCTATGCAAAATGGAAGCCCACCACTCTCCCAAGAAAGTGCTACATCTCCTTCCCCCACAACAAAAAAATCCCTACTGGAAAGGGCTCTGCTCCTTCCTGGATGACAAAGCCTTCAATGATGTGTGTGAGGATCTGGGGCTTGACGATGGCTTGAGGAGGTTTGGAGTCTCCCATCTGACGTGACACCAATGCCAGGTTTGGGGTGGAAGCAGAGGTGGGGGTGGCTGAGACTCCTTCACTTGATGTGGCATTTGTGGTTGCAATGGCAGCAGTATCAGAATTATCTGGAAAGGACAGGAGTGAGATAACTTTGCTCTACCTACTTCAGGTCATTATCACACACAGACAGAGCTCTCCTTTGTACCTCACCTCCAAGACCACTCTTCTCCTCCATGTTTTTGGGGCTGTCTGTTACAGGAGAGGACCTGGCAGGCAGGAGTGCAGTGACACTGGCTGGCTCCTCCTTCTCTTCCTCTGACTCTGCCTTGCGCTTTACTGCCAAGGCCTGTGATTTGCCCTAAAGGAATAAAGAGGAACACGTAACCAGATAGAACAGCTCCAAAACACAGAACAAACCAGATCAAAACAGAACAAACCAAGAAAAAAAGCATCCTGCACCATTACACTTGATTGCTTCTGGAGATGTCTCTAGCTCCCTCATACATACCTCTACTTGGGAGCATTTGCTATTAAGGAACAAAGCTTGAGGAGACTCACTACCATGCCAGACTAGGATCTAATGTCCCAAGTCATGCTGATACACTGGTGTAAGACCAAGACACTGTGAACCTCAAAGGATTATTGATAGGAAGAAATGGAATGACATTCACTCAAGCAGTTTCCAAAGAGGTTTTTTGGATAAATCAGATCAGTTTCAATGAAGAGTTGAAAGAGTAGGGTACATACATTCACCAGGAGCAGACTGACTCCCTGCTCTAAAAATCAAGACAAATCCTGCGACACCTTCCTGAAGAAGTAGACAAGAGTTTAGAAAGAGGCTCAGCAAATGGCTAAGGAGGTGCTCAAGGCAAGGTTGGATGGAGCAACCTAGTCTACTGAAAGGTGTCCCTGCCCATGGCAGAGGTGTTGGAATTACACGATCTTTAGGATTCTTTTTAACTCCAGTTATTTATGATTCCATGATCTGAGCTGGCTAAGTGCTGTTGTCTCAGGGATTTAGGTAGGCTCTAGGTGGACAATTCACAACAACATGGACCTAGAGGCCTAGGTCAGTGGCTGGTACCACACACCAAGGGATCTGTAACCCAGAAATATTCACACTGGAACAGTTAATGAAAAACTGCAGCCTGTGGGAAAAGACCCACACTGGACAAGAACTTTATGAAGGACTGTATTGTTTGTGAAGAACTGCACTTCATGAGAGCGATTCCCCCATGCTAAAGCAAGGGAAAAGCATGAGGGAGAGACAAAACCTTATGAGCTGACCACAGATCCCATTTCTTGTCCTCCTGAACCATTCAGGGAGAGGAGGTAGAAGAGTCAGGAGTGAAGCTGATCCTGTGAAGAAGGGGGGAGGTGTTTTTTGCCTTTGTTCTTATTTCCAATTATCCTACACTAAACTGGCAGTAAAATAAATCATTTCCACAAACTAAGTTTGTTTTGCCCATGATGGTCATTGGAAAGTGATCTTCACATCCTTATCTCAATCCACAAGCTTTTCACTGTATTTTTCTCCCTCTGTCATGTTGTGAAGGGAGAGTGATGGAGCAACAACTTGGTGGTCCATCCAGCAGGCAACCAAGGTCAACCAAACCCCATTGTTAAGTGGGATACTCAGTATGTGATGTGGACACCCACCCCTCTGGGGCAGGCTCTGAGTCTCACCTATTAACTTCATGCAAGCCTTTGAATGATAATGTGGAAGAGAAACGCTTGCAGTCAGTAACCCCAGGGGCTGAATTGGAATTAGTGTTTTTGAAGGTAAAAAAGTCTCCACATCCCTTTCCCCAAACCCCTTACCCATCCCATCCCACTGACCTGGGCCTGGACTGCGCTTGGTGTCCTAGGAATGAACAAAGAGAATCCATATGCTATTGTCCTTCTCAATGGTATCACTTACTGGCAACTGGACAGACTGCATGTAGAATGCTGCTGGCATCTGAGCCACAACTGGAGAGGAAGCTGGGCTCTTCACCATGTGGGCTGTGCCTTGAACTTGTGCCAAATTCACCCCTGTGGTGAGAGGGGGAGCTTCCTGTGAGGATGCCGGAGCTGAAGATGACGATGGGGAAGCAGCATGGGTTTGGGAAACAGGCTGGACTACAGCTGGCATTCCCCGTGACGTCGGCACTGCTGCAGCAATCTGAGCCAAGCCCAAAGCCTGGGCTTGGCCAGAGCTCTGCTGCCGAGTGCCTACTACCTGCACTGGGATGTGTGGCGGAGGCTGCTGTGCTGCTGACATTTTGGCAGGCCCAAGCTGAGGGGGTTTGATAGGGGTGACCAGAGATTTTGACTGGATAGGAATAGGTGACTTGGTGGCTGCCTGGCACGGACTGTCCTGCTGGAGCTGCAAATGCTGTGGCTGAGACTGCAACATAGGTTGCACCACAAGGGTCTGTGCCTGCTGCTGGCTTTGAGAGGGAGCCTGCTGCTGTGGAGGCTGGGCTTGCTGCTGCTGCTGGGTCAGAGATGCTGCTTGCTGCTGTTGCTGCTGTTGAGCCAGTTGGAGATGGGTGGCTGTGTGGAGGAGCTGGGATTGGCGGTGCTGGAACTGCTGCTGGTGATGTATGGCTATCTGCTGCTGGATCACCACCTGCTTCTGCAGATGGATCTGCTGCTGCTGTTGGATCAGTGAGTGTGGCTGGATCTGCGTATATGTTGCTATACAAAAACAGAGTAAGAAAAAACAGAGCACAAAAGTTAGCAACAGTTCAGTTGGGAACAACAACAACAGAAATAAGGCAGCCACTTCACTGATTGAGACATTAGATTCCAAAATGACTGACAGCTTACTTGCAGGGGACATGAGGGATTAAATCAGCTTCCTGTGCTAATAGGAAGGGATAACCCCTCGAGACAAGTCTCTCGAGGTCCAAAGCTGGGAGATGTGTTGGAAAACCTTCTATCACCAGGCTTCCAAATATCATTCTTGTGAAGGCCCAATGATTTCGAAGAGAAAAAAACAGATGAGTTTTTTACCTGAGCTGATCAGCGTCTGGCTGGGCGCTGGTGTAGCGGTCCTGGTGAGGTTCATGCCCACTGTTTGCTGTCCACCACTGTCTGTGTCACCCTTCTTTGCAGCTGCGTTCTCCGTCTCTGTCTGGCTCCCCTGGCTGACAGTCACGGCCTGGGCAGCCGCCACCGGCAATGGCTGAACCACCCCGGTGCCTTTCCTCTGGCAGCTGCCAGTGGCACCTGCGGAGGAGCTCTGGCTCAGTCCCATCGAGGGCTGGCTCCCACCACCGGCCACCACAGCCCCGGAGACGCCATTGCTGCCTGCTGCTCCCTGGCTCAGGTTGAGGGACTGGCCTGCCCCGCTGGAGGAGGGCTGGGCCACTGCCATGGTGCTGGTGGCCTGCGGCAGGCCCGAAGCCTGGGAGCTTCCTGGCAGGGCTGTCTTCTGAGCAGAGCCCTGGAGCTGGGCGTTAGTGGCAGAGGTCTGCTGGCTCCTCACAGCCAAGTTCTGCACCTAGAGACACACACACCAAACAGAATCCTTGTGCTTTATACACGGTACTTGCCAGGAGTGTAACAGAGCACACATAAGCAACACACTCTGCTGGGATGCAGGCTGAGTTGATGCCTCGGGTCTTATGTGAGGAGCTGCTAACATTGCTGGGCAGAGCTCAGCACAGCCCTCTCCAGGAAGCACATTATCCTGAACTCTCTGCTGCCCAATCTTTGATGGAAATTAAAGATCTCATGGCACTTTGTGAACAGGATCTGGGTACACAGTCTCTCTCCAGGGCATGGGACAGACTTCAGACCTATCTGCCATACCCTGGTCAATACCAGGACCCACTTCAGCAAGGCTCTAGAAGCACTGAGTTATCCCTTTAAAGACCAGTCATTATTTTCAGTTTTTGTGCCACCTGCCTGCCCCAGGCCCACAGATCTACTCGTGGCCCACACCCTTTCTAATTTCACTCTGCATTTTGGTGCTGCCATCCTCTGTATTTACTTCTGCTCCAAATGCCACCTCCAAAATTTGATCACAGCTAACTTTTCTTTAAAAAGATTGCTTCAGACAAGTCTTTGGCATCTTTACAACAACGAACCAACTGGATGAAGGAATACTACCTCTGGTAAAGACCCTTAATTGCAGTGTGACTGAAAACTGTACATAGAACTCAAGAGTTCTTTTTGCACAATAACAACCAAGAAACTGTGAAGATGGGATTGATCCAGCCTGTGCTCACCTCAGAAATTTTAAGCAGAAATTAATTTCATCTCTGGAAGCAGAAAGCAAACATGAAAACATGGTGGCAAAATCTGCTGCCTGAACAGGGACAAGGGCTGGGGATAAAATAGCTCTAATCTGCTCTACAGGGACAACTTGAGACAAAGACCAGAGCGTGGTGTGGCAGAAGCAGGGGAAAGGGAGGATGGCCACTGACCTGGTCTGTGTCTGCGTGGACCCCAGGAGACTGAGTGGGTGGTACTTCCTGCTGGACAGCAGCCACAGCCCCATTGGGCATCAGGATGAGCTGGGAGGCGAGAGGCACGTTGCGGCCCAAGGTCCGGTTCACCTGCAGCAGGTTCCCCAGCTGTGGCTGTTGAGCATCAGGTGATGGGGGAATGAAAGGAACGGAGGTAGAAGAGAGAAAGGAAGACAAAAAAAACCACAAGCAAATAGATCATAAAGGAACATTAGGCTGCAATGTCACATATTGCAAAACCACCAACCCTCCCTGCACTGTAACACTGAACATAACCCTCCAAAGCAGGAAACTCAGAACAGTTTCCTTATGGAAACAAGCACTCTTCTATCTAACATAGGCCTGGGCTAATTCCCACAGACTGCCCAAGGCTGTGTATCTAGAACTGGTTGAACAACAGTGATAAAAACCATACATCCAAGATTAGTGCTGCTTGAAAAGAAGGGGATTACAATCTGTATCTGAAGCCAACTGGAAAACAGAAAATATTTTGCAATAAAATATTGCAAATAAAACCCAAACCCCAGACTTGACTCCATAGAGAAGCCTAATGCTTTCTACCTAGCTGCACTGCAAAGCAATTAAAAGGATGACATTTGTTCACATTGATTTATTTGTCTAGGCTTACTTGAAATCTGACTTATATCCCTGAGCTCAGCAAGCAGTAGAAGAGTAATTTACCATGTATCTGTTCCAACATTGAACCAGAAGAGTAGCTTTATTTCTGTGAGCTACATTCAAGTCTAGGACACGTATTTCACATTTACACTCTAGTGAGAAGTGCTATGGAACCTTTAACATCTATGCAGAGCAGAGACACACAGTTGTTAACATTCTTGAAGGCTGAGCCCAGAATCAAACTTGTGGCTCCAGGGAGGAGACCTTCCCCATGCAATTTTAAAACATACTGCAACATCCTTAAAGTTAGGTTAGTCTGCAGGTGTTGGTAATTCCAAGCAGTGAAACTCTGCAGTGGCTGCTAAGTGGGGCTCATGGTCAGGCCACACTGATGCACATCTCTTACCCGAAGGTACATCTGTGCCTGTGACTGGTTGAGAGGCGGTGAGGTGGTGTTCCCGAGGAGCACAGACTGCGTCAGTGTTGTGGCGCTCGGGGAGCTCACGCTCTGGGACCGACTGATCAGCTGAGCAGCTGAGGTGGTGGCAAGGTTGATCTTAGAATAGAAAAAAGCTTCAAATCACATATGAAGAGATGGAGGCCAAGAAATAAGTACAAATACACTTAGTGGGGTACAATCAGAACAGACATTTTACAGTTATTTCCTGTATCCCACAGGGGACCAAGAAGTTCTTGTCTTAGAGGGCTTGTCCTACAGGCTACACGATCTATATTAGCCAGAGCCCTGGATACTGACCTCATTTGTATGCTGAGCTTGAGAATCACTGTTAGCATGCAACTGCAATAAGAGATCCAAAAAAATACATCATTTTCTCCAGCCTCCCAAGTAAAGGTAAAAAAACCACAAAACCTTCTCTACCAATTCATCTACTCTCCGAGCAAATTCAAGCTCCTCAACACTCACTACAAAATCAGACATCCTCTCATTCAACAAACTACTGCTCTGCCTAAGACAAAAGCTGCTTGCAACTCCTCCTTCTTACAAGTCCTGATCCTTTTCTAATCCATGACAATGTATCCCCAAAGCCTCAGCTAACAGAGATCCATGTCTACTTTTCCAGCTAAGAGGCCTCTCTCACCCAAAAACCTTATCTCTTTTCCTCAAGCCCCACCAATAAGGAGAGCACCCCAAATCCTCAAAGCTGTCTCCATCTTGTTGATTCCCTGGATTCTTAGAAGCCGTGTGCATCCTAAAAGACAAGGAGGAGACCAAACAAAGTGGGGAGGGGGGTTTGACATGTATGTGAGGTAGCAGTTTTACTTACAGAAGCCTGGGTGGTAGTGGTCTGTTGCGAGGTGCTAGTGTTGGGGGAGCTGGCCTGTCTACTGGCTGCAATTGTAGCCTGCAGGAGAGATTGGCAGAGGAATGAGTGCCTGAACAAACTTTTCAATCCAGCCCAATTTTCTGGCTCTGTTAGAACACCTAGTCCCTTACCTTCAGAGTAAATGACCTTCCTTCCACCCCATGGGTACATGCACTACTCTTGCCCAGCATATCATACTACACACTGCAACCCAACCCTCACCCTGATGCTGGAATCCACTGTTAACACCCAGACGTTCCCCACAAAATTAGCAATTTGTTGGGCTAATTAGGCAGTTTCGCAGAAATGCAATGATAGAACTCCAAGTAACAAAATTCAGACTAGAGAGCATATGGTCTGTGGAAGAACATAAATATTGATAGAATTATTTCTCCCTCTCTGATGCCAGGGGAATCCCCCTGCATGAGTTTCTTTAGTTTTGTAACTAAGATTTGTGCAAAACTGATGAGAAGGTTCTATTTATCCTATACTGTAAGACTGCAGTCAGGGATTTTGAAAACAATGACATGCTGGACTAACTGCCAAGGAGTACAGCTACTGAGGTATTGTTACACAAACAGAATGCATTCATGTCACACATAATCCATTTTGAACTGATGAGTAAGTCTAGTAGGTGAGCAAAGCTGATAAAGAAAAAAAAAAATCACTCAACAATTATACATCATAAAATACATTGATTTATATTGAGCTGTGTATGTCTCAATTAGAGACAGCTTCCTGGCTGGACAGGTTTACCCTCCTGCTGGTAAAGAAAACATGGCTACTAAGTTCCAAGACAGACATTTCAGAGGACGCTGCCTGAAATTTCATGCAAATACAAATGTTTATTCTCAGAGAAGCAACAACCCATTGTTCCCTTTAATGCAGTTTTTAAATATTACTGCATTCACTGCTGATTTAACCACCCATCTTTTATTTAAAGAAGGTGCAGGGGGTACAAATAGGCCTCTCAAGTGCAAGTTCCTTGATGGTGATGCCAAATTTTATCTTCTCCTGCTCTGTACCCAAAAAACCAAATTAATCTTTGCTTCAGGCTTCCAGTTGACTGGCTGCCTGTATAAACTCTAAGCAATGTGTTTAGGGACTCATTGTCTCAGGATGACTTGGTGCGTAAGGCACTGTATAAAAACAGAACCTCTGGATCTTCCCCAGAGAATGATCCAACTTCTCTCCTTCTGCCTCTTGGCAACTCACCTGCTGGACAGCAGCCAGGCTGTGAAGTTGGGCACTGTTAAACTGCTGCTGGAGCATAAACTGATGGAAGTACTGGGCTGCATTGGGCTGTCTCTGGAGTGCCTGCAGGGCCTAGATAAAGAAGAAAACTCAATTGTCAAAAACTGCATGCCATTGAAATGTGATTGAAGAGAGCAATGACGAAGTAAGTAAGCCATGAGAACATCCCTAGAGCACATGAAAAAGCCGGCAGGAGATTAGCACATTCAAATCCATAGAACAGTTATAAATTTGGTGACACACTGAATCACAGGTGTATTCCACGACAGTGGGAATCACACTTGCAAGACTTTAATAAACTTCAAGAAGCTGGGGATGTGCATGCTTACACAGGCAGACAAGTGTTCCTGTGTAGTTTGTGCATGGAGGGCATAGAGGAACTGGGATGGCAAACTCATTTCTCTAGAACAGCAGGCTAAAACCAATCTATTGGACCACAGTAGAGATTATATCTAGGAAGCTGGACACTCAAGGAGTAACCTATAAAACATGAAGCCTCAGACTCCAAGAACTAAACATCAGGCCTAGCATAAGCATTTCTAAATATGAAAAGATGACAGCCCTCTAAGTATAGTCCCACCTTGACACAAAACAACGCAGACGAACACAAAAGGGCTCACCACCAGCTTCCAGTGATGCACTGCCATCCATCCCAGAGCATACCCACGTCTCACCTGTACTGCCTGTCGCTCATAGAGTGACATCTGAGAGATCTGAGGCCGGGTGCTTCCTCCAGAACTGGAGCTCCCACTGGTGGAGTTGGAGTTCTGCTCACTTTCAGTCTCCATGGTGACAGGATCCCAGGAGCTCAGGCTGAGATGGACTCCAGATCTACATTGAAAGAATTGGAAACTAAGTCAGGCTGCAAAATGAAACAAACTGTATTTCACTACATTACACAGCTTTTGTACTAGAATATCTCAATAGCAGTCTTCCTGCACAGCTTTGCTACATCGCAGGGACCAGGGAAGCTGAGATTCTAAAATCACCCACAAATCTTACTCACAGTTTAAATATTTTATTACCACCAGCAGAAATGTAATGTGCATATTCTTTTATTGCCATGCTATAGTTGCAAGCTACAGTATCCTGAACTCTTAAAAATGTAGTGAAGAAGCAGCTGCAGCTCATTAAAACAATTCTAGTTACAGACCTGACCACCTCTCCTTTCAATAGAAACTAGCAAACCCAGGCAAATTGCACTGTGCTTCCATCCTCCAATGCACTTTGGCAATTTCTGATCCTCTCTTCCTCCAGTCCCTCAGCTCCAATGCCCTACTGATACCAACTCCCAGTTTAACCCCCAACCCTCAACTCTTCTTCTGATCACATGAACTTTCCGGCTACTTGTTGCTCCCAACAGATCTTAACTTGAATACTGATTAGAAGCTGGTATCTGTGGTGGCAAGTTACTTTCAGGAGGAACAAAGCCAGAAGGAGAGTGGATGAAGTGTTCACTGGTAACACTTGTAAGGCAAAAGCTGCTGAAGAGGTCATGCAGAACCAGGGAGATCTTCCAGCAGCAGAAAGATGAGTTGCAGTGAATTGCAGGATTGAGAAAGGACTGGAGAAGGCTTTCATCAGCTAAGAGGAAGAGAAGTGAGACTGAATAGTGCTTAGCAGAAGAGTAGCACATTGAGATGATCAGGGAGTTTCCTGCAGCAAGAAATATGAGCTACACAGGGAGTAGCAGCAGGAGGGGCTAGAGTCAGAAAAGAGAGAAAAAATGATAATACAACAGAATTCCACTGGAAAAAAAGAAAATCAACCCGACTTTTTGAAAGGTTAAAACTCCATGTAAGATTAAAAAAAAATATTTCTGGTAAGTCTTATTACCACCGAGACAGCCTATTTATTTCCAAAATACCAACTAGTTCCTCTCTAGTGTATCTGAGACCTCTAAATGAGACCCATGTAAATGAGCTTCCAGGAGCCAAAGCACCAGCACAGCCCCTTTATCTAGCCCTTTTTAAATCCAAAGATTCTGAGCTTTACCACCACCAAGCATTTTCCTGGTGTACAAGCAAACAGACCTGTGCAGCAGAAATTGAGGTGCAACAATATTCTCAGCCACACAACTTTTTAAATTCTGAAATGGTGCTAAGGGCAGCAGATGACTTTAAAGTAGGACAACAGCATTAACTCTGCAGAGGATGGGTGGCTAAATCAGGGAACTGCTGCTTCAAACCTGCTCCTCAAAACCTGGAAAATTCTTTAACTGAGACACACCTCCTCCTAAATGGCCACTACTCTCTTCAGGCACAACCCTATTTCAGCTAGAAACAGCTTGTCAATAAACCTACCTAGAATATAAAAGCTCTTGGAGAAGCAACTGACTTAAAGATCTTCCCCAGAGGGGAAAAATTAAATGAAGCTTGAAAATAAACACTGAGAAGGGAGAGAATACAGACTTTTTGAAATAATTAAACTGTAGTAGATAATAAAGTACTTGAGTGGGGTTAAAATGCACATGAAGCTACTACATACATTGCACCAAGTTCTCCAGCAGCTCAGTTGCCATTAGGAGACAATTTATGATCCCTTGACCACCTCAACTTCCCAATGCAGATCCTCCTCCTTCAACTCACTTCTGGTGCTCATTAGATCAACTTGGTAGCTGCAGAAAAGGTACCCTAAAACCCTATTTTCTGCCAGAGCACTGAGTTGAATTACATTACTTGTGATGCCACAAGTGCCCATGAGTGAGGAAAGGATGCAACAGATGTTCACCTTAGCTACAGCAAATACCCTTGTCTTCAACAGCTTCACCAGGAGAAGCCAGGCTTCTGCCTTGGTGCTCTGCTCCACCAATGTGTGTTTCCTCAGTAAGTAGCACCACTGATTCCTAAGATTTCCAGCATTTTTGAGAGTTCCATATTGATCTAGATCTTATTAAAATGAGGTCCTAGCATAAAGAGAATATTGCTGAAACACCTCTGGCATGAGGCATAGAAAATGTTGGTCTCTCTGTAGGCAGAAGGCCTTTTGGAGATGTGGACAGAGAAGCACATGCTTGCTTTGCAGAAGGGCTGTAAGAATTTTAAGTCAATTACAGCAAGGAGAGTTATCCAGCAAAACTCTTTCCAAACACAAAAGTGAAAAGGCACAGCATTTCCCCAAGCAAGTTCATCTAAGGATGCAGCTCCATGTTAGCGTAATCCGATCCAAACACAGGCCATTTCCACACAAAATAGAGAATTACACACTCTCCCCTCCTCCAACTGCATCCCCAAGCACTTTCCTCTTACAAAAACCTAGTGATCACTGGGCTATCACATCACTTGACTCAGCTAGCTGCTCCATGAGATGGATAACCTACTAAAAATTATTAAACCATGGATTTTCCATACAAATGAACCAAAAAAAGGAAAACCAACACACACTTAACAACGTGGCCATTACTGGAAATTAACCTTTGAACAATAGCTAGAACTGCTCCCTAAAAGAAAGACACAGAAGGATACAAAAGCTTTTTAGCATCATGGCAGGAATGACCACACAGTAAAAAGGACCGGAGGGAGAAAGGAGAAAACTGGCTCAGGCAGCAGTACAAGCATGAGAACATGGACCACTCCAGAGCCTAACCCACACTTGGATCTCAGCACACACCGAGAACACCACAGGTGGCCCATCTACAAGTTCCTGACCTTTTTCAAGCACAAGGGCAGACAAAAGTCAAGCCAAAAAATACTCTAATCATTAAGGACTAAGTAGGAGGTTGAAAAGTTTTACTTGCTCACTCCATCTATTCCCCCGGGACATGACTGCTGCCTGCACAACGTTTTCTAACTTTCCTTAGTGGTTCTGTCACTTCATCATTGAGAAACTAAGTTAGGAAACACGTAAGATTTACACCACAGGTTTGAAGGAGCAAAATTAGCACCGAGTACTACAGCATATTCGCTGCCGTTACTATGCTTCTACAACAGTTTCCAAGCCACACAAGCAGAGGTGTGGAACCGCCGGGACAAGATGACTGCTCTGGGATGCTCTGGGAGCAGCAGCGGGTACGACGCTCCAGCACTGCAGGACCCTCGCACCACCTGGTCCCCACCCCTCGTTGTCCAGCCCGCCTTTCCCCGCCAAGCGCCTCGCCCGGCCGGCGGCGGGAGAGCGGGAGGGAAGGAAGGATGGAAGGAGGAGAGGATGGAAGGGGACAGTGCGGCGGCAGCCACCCAGGCCGCCGGCAACTCCGGCGGCAAAGTTGATCCGACACGGCGTGCGGGCGCCCTGCCCGCCCGTGCCGTGCCCGCAGCCCCGCCGCGGCGGGAGGCGGGATGCGCCGCAGGATGCCCGAAGCCGGGCGAGGGCTGCCCGGGGGAGGGAGCGGGGCTGCGCGGGGGAGCTGCTCGGGGCCGGGCCGGGCAGACAATGGCTGCTCCGCCGCCGCTGTCAACTTCCATCCCGCGC